AATTGCTAAATTATTTGCAAAGTGTATTTTTGAACAGCTCTTTAGCTATCTTGAATACAACAAAATGTTTTCAAATTTCCAGTTTGGTGGCAGAAAGCACCATTCAACAGCACATGCATTAATAGCAATAACTGATTATGTATATAAAGCCCTTGATAATAACAATTTTGTCATCTTCATAGCCTTAGACATACGTAAAGCCTATGACCGCTGTGACCCAGAGGTGTTATTACATAAATTAAGGTACGGGATTAATGAGCAAATTATTGAATCATTTCTAACTGACAGAAAACAATTTGTTTACATGAAATGTAATAATAGATGCTGTTCTTCTGATACGTTACCGACAAATATGGGTGTGGCTCAAGGTCTATGTTTAAGCTGTCTTTTGTTTCTCATAATGATGAATGACCTGCCACTATGTATTTGTAATTCTTTGTGTATAAAATTTGTGGACGATACGGGAATTTTAATCTCTGGTGAAATCGGTAATATTTCTGAAACTGTTAGCAAACTTGAATCTGATTTATTAAATATATGTAATTGGATGAAAAGTAGCAGGCTTGAACTGAATAATGATAAATGTGAAATGATGGTCATTGCTGCAAAAAAACATATCCAATATGTTCAGGATATTAGTGTTAAACTGGATGGAGTACCCATGAAAAGAGTTAATTTTATAAAAATTCTCGGTATTATAATTGATAACGATTTAAAATTTAATTTACAATGTGATAAGGTAGCGGAGAAATGTAACTTTGCGTTATGGTCGCTATATTCATTAAAGGGAGTCCTCGATGTAAGACATAAAATAATGGTGGTGCAAGCCTTAATTTTACCTATTATAATGTATTGTTGTCCGATTTGGTTAGTTGGGAGTAGCAACTTAAAATGTATTAATAATATTTTACGAAGATGTGCCAGGTTTGTGTATGGTAAATCTAAATTTGACAGCATTTCTGATGAAATCATTGTAGATCTCGAGTGGTTAAATGCAAATTTAACAAATTGCTGTAAGTTTGAAATGAGTAAAATTGCCTTTAATATGTATAATAATATCGGACCGGGAATTTTCCGGGACTATATTTGTCAAGAGAAAAGAATAGTAAGGGCAACAAGAACTGTAACGTATTCTGAGCCTAACATTATATGTAATGGATTAATGAGAAAGTCATTTCAATATAGGGCGTCAAAAACGGTACTGAATTTACCGGTACGAATCACTGAAAAGTTAAGAAATCTAAGTATAATTGAATTTAAACGACTAGTTAAATGTGAGCTTGTTCATGAACAATGTACCGAGAGAATGGTGGAATTATTTGATATTTTAGACGATCATGATGCACTTTGATAAATTGTATTATTTATTTTCTTAAATCTATTGTAATGACAAATTTTTTACCTTGAGGCGTAATAACCCAGCATTGGGGTGTCTCATTGAAATAAATAAATCAAATCAAATCAAATGTAACTATGCGGCACAATGGAACAACGTTCTGAAAACCAAATTTTACAGTAAACTTTTATATTATATTGAATAATTAAGAAGCCAAATTTCGAATTTCGAGTAAATTATGTAACTAGAATGAGGTAAAGGTGCATTCCTTGTACAATGAACTAAATTCTAAAACTTTGTTGAACTTGTAAAATTCACGCAGTTTTAGAAAATCTTTCTTTTGTAGATCGATTAATTTTCACTCTCAAATATATCCGATGACATTTTAACTACGTGCAACAATATTATTGGAAATATATGACTTTGTAAACATGTCTAGGTTCAAATAAATAATTTAATTGAGAGTTTGACACATGCGATAAAATATTTGATGCAAAATCAAGTAAATAAACTTTATCTCGTCATTTCATTTCTTGAGCCAAATTAAGATTTTACAGGTACCTGATAAAAATTATCCTTTCTAATCGAAATTGTAAGTTCCTGAAGGAATATTTTTTTATTGTAACTCACAATGAAGTTCTCCTAACGTATGCTCACAGATTTGGACTGAACTATTTGTAGCGTCAATCGATCAGAAATATAATTAGTATGAAATTGGCAAATGGAACTATCTGCCAATGCGCAGGTTTGACGGAGATATTTGCCATCCAAAGCGGGAAAAATGCGCAGCAAATTTGGAAAATGAAAAATTTGCCAGCCTTAGGTGTGCGTTTTCTCCTCTTTCTATGCAAATATCTCCGCGAAACTTGCACATTGGCAGATAGTTCCATTTACAAATTTGATACTAATTATATTTGCGATCGATTGACGCTACTTTGGTCCAAATCTGTGAGCACACGTTGGGAGACCTCCATTGTAAGTGAATGTAATACCCGGTATTTGGCATAAATTTGCCAATTATTTTGACCTATGTAATTTTATCTATTTTTATGATTTTGCAATTATCAAATTGATAATATCCATAATATGATGTAATAAATCAATTATTAAAATATGAAAACAGTTGGACACTAAATATTAAGATTTTTACAAACTACTCAGCAGTTCATGATTGAATGGAACCCGGATTTCCATAAATCTACGAATCATATATCATTTCGTCCTATTTAAAATAATATTTTTCGGCGCTGGTGTTATTCATGGGTGGAATTCAATATACGCTATCATAAGCATTTGCGTAGATAAGCACATGCTCAGCAAGGTTTTTGCTGAGCAAAATTTGGTATTCAATATACAGTCGACTTAGGCATGCGTAAGTTTAAGAATGCTTAAACTTACGCAAATTCTAAGCAACGGCTAAGCAACGAAAATCTGTGACCTCGTGTGAACTGAAAAAAATCATGAAAAATTATGACGTCATGAAAAATTATTGTTATTCCATCTTATTTCATCTCGGTTAAACCATCAACACCACATTCCCTACAATAATTTTGACTGGCTAATTATTGAAGTTTTTATGGTCATTTTCGATCATTCCATTGCATTTCGAAATGGCGTTGACCACTTTAACGGGTAATATCACAAGTAAGTGACCACTTTTCCATAAACTTAGCTAAATTATAAATTTAAAGTCACATTAATTGTCTTAATTAATGTGATTGATAATTTTTTAGAGACCGAAGGTGCCAAAAGGAGTCCAAATTTCACTTCTCTGGAAAAGGAGGTGCTAGTTGATGAAATTGTTGCAAATCTTTCGTTACTTTTTGGCCAATTCACCACGAAAATGACTCCTGAAATTCAATCAGAAGCATGGGGGCGAGTCCTTCTCAAGGTCAACGCATTGGGTGTGGTTCCTGGCGGAAGAAAGCTGTCTGAAATTAAGAAGAAGTACCAACAGCTTAAGAGCGAGGTCAAGGCTAAAGGGGCCGCAAATAAACGAGAGCTGAATGAGACCGGTGGCGGTGAAAGTGCGTTGTCCCAACTCGACGACCTACAGGAAAAAATTTTGTCGACTCTCCCTACGGTATCAGTCGAAGGAATTTTTGGAGGATTCGATTCCAGTGGTGAGGCTTAAAACTGACTGACATGATTAGTTGTATACTAAAGTTTGTGACTCGTTTTACAGACAAACCTACGATGAAGACAACTACCGCCCGAAATCACGTCCCACGATGCACTCCATCTTCTCGAAGTGAAGAAGACCCGTCAATAAATGAGTCTCCTCGCCCCACAAAACGCAAGCTTCCCGAGACCACGTTGTACCAGCTGCAAACACGTCAAGTTACCTTACTGGAAACTCAAGTTAAGGAACTGAAGCGTATTGGTGATCTCATGCAGCAACGAAACAATATTGAGGAAGAAAAATTGAAACTCAAGCGCAAGAAATTTGAATCGTCCCAATTCCCGAACTATGTGGTCCAATTAACACATGGTCAATGTGTTCGTTCTTCAGATGTGAACAGCTGCATTTGAATTAATCATCAAATTTCTATTCAATTAATTTCGTGTTCAGTTATTTTTGTTAATATGAGCAATTGTATTTCAAGTTTTACGTTGTATGTAATTACAATTCATTGCAAATTACACTTTCCTTTACAGAATTCTATTTCAAAACCATCATCCTGAACATGGTTAAATTCTGCAAATATTCACTGCTACCATCCATGAGCCGGTGATTGCATTCCTACCAGAACAATGAGATTCGATGGATGTGATCGGGTCCTTTAAGTCGGTGGCAGGATTGCAGTGCGGTAATAGCGCGACACATAGATTCATAAAATAGTAAATTGGGAAAGTCAGCACCCGGTCAGGATAGTAAAGAGCTGTTAATTTAATTAGTTTAACTATTAATTGAACTTATCGAGAGACATATTCTGTAAAATCTTATCCAACACGGCGATAACTACTTCCTCTTGGACGACCCTGTTGTTGTTCGACGTTATTTCAGGGATTTGGCCGACTTGCAATTCAAAACCACCACCGCTCACATTCTCATTTGAGTCATCACATAAATAACTCGAAATGCAGAAGACTTATCAATAGTTTTGTTTGCGTTAATATGAGAAATTGTTTTTCAGGTTTTACTTTGTATGTACTTAAAATTTGGTCCAAGATTAAATACACGAATAACAAATACGTAAATTTTCACATGTGTACACTAGTATAAAACTTACTTAAAACCACCACTAAACTAATTAGGCTAATCCAACTCATCTTCAGCCAGACCGTGAATAATAAGTTCTAACTGATGCTCATCTTCATCCAACAAGGGAATTCCGAAATTTACACAGTAGTTATGCAAAACGACGCTGGCAGTGATCAATTTGCAAACTTTTGCTGGCTCGTAGCATAAGTCGCCTCCCGATCTATTAGTTAACGGAAAATTAAATCAAAATACGATCACGTATGAATGAAAGAATTACAAACTTATGCATTGATCTGAATCTGCATTTCCACAATCCGATGCATCGTTCAACTTTGCTTCTAGTTTTTGTCAATGCGGTATTAAATAATTGCTGCTCGACTGATAATGCCGCTCTCCTCGAAAACGGAATGGCCAAGTATGGTGCACGAAAATAACCACTGTCGCCTTTAATTTTAATTTTTAATTAATTTTCAAAATCAAAACGTTGTTACCGAATTCTCCTCGCTGAAACCGATGACAAATCGCACTGTTCCTCATAATGAAGCTATCATGGCTGCTACCAGGATATTTCGCTACGATATCAGCTATTTTATCTTGGTGATTGCATATTATCTGTACGTTAATGGAATGACGCTGTTTTCTGTTAATGTAAACTCCGCCGTGGTCAGTTGGAGCCTTTATAAGAACGTGGCTTCCGTCAACAATGCCAATCACGTTCGGTAGACCTGCGACCTGATAAAATGCGTTTGACACGATATTTCGTTCATCCACACTTGCTGGGAATCTGATCATTTCATTTGCATGATCCTGCAGAGTAGATGACACCTGACCGTGTTCGAAATAAATTTTGAAAGTTCAAACTGCAACATATTAAAGACCATTTTTTAAGCGTACCTCCGCAATTATTCGGCTGCACGAAGGCTGGGAAGTTCCGGAAACAGTTCCTAGCATCCATTGGAATGACCCAGATCGAAAAAAACCCAATGTTGTAAGAATTTTCGTCTCCGCCGGTGTCGCGTAGTTTCTCCGTGCCAGTGGTTCAACTTCCGGTTCAATCCACTCAATAAGCTCTCGAGCTCCCCACCAAGGCAAACCAGTATGTTTCCTTATTTCAAATTCGGAGAGACTTTCAAGGAGTCGACGTTGTTTATAAACCCGATTGCGCTCATTGTTCAGGACAAATAATGGAATGGCCATTTTTAAAGAAATAAATATTTTTTTGAGCTAAATTAAAGTTACGCAAGTCGTTATTCCACCTCCGAGCTGGAATAACTTTAGGCAAAAAATTTAGGAATTTGTGCATATTGAATACAGAAATTCATAAATTTTTTGCTCAGCACTTGCTTAGAATTTTGCCTAAGCAACAAATATTGAATACAAATAAAATTTGCTTAGGCAAATTTCTCTTGCCTAAGCATTGCCTAACGTATATTGAATTCCACCCCATATTTTAATTTTGACGATTCAAATTCATGCCAATTTTTGCAACTACGCAATACTGGAAGTTGCATTACATTCATACCTGTTCACTTTCATTCATGTGACTAATCATGATAGAGAATTATGGTGAATGAAAATTAATTTCCTGTGATTTGAATAAAAATGAGTGAAAGATTCTGTTATTTCAGATGAGTGACTGGTAATAAAAGAATTTCTCACTCCTTTCATTTTTCACCCTATGCTTAATACATTGGGCGAAATAAGAAATGAAGTCAGATGAAGTGAAGTGAAATGAAATAAGTTTGATAGAAAATTATTGAGTGTGAATGAAAATCTTAAGTCAGAAGTCGGGATGACTGAACTTTGAATGAACAAAGTTTTTTTGAACAGGTATGATCATACTGACCTAATCATATCTTATTCATTTATTTGTAGGTTATAAAATTATGTAAGGAATTTTGGGGCAGCTTAAAATAAAAAACCTAATCATTTTGCAGTTTATAAATTGTACTGCTTCCAAATTGGTAGATTTTGCATTTTTTGCTACTCATTCTTACAATTTTTTATTTAAAACTAATTTTATCTCATATTCCTCACCGTCGATATCACGGGAGGAATACAGTTGGTAGTGGCTGGCTTCGGTAACCGGGAGACAGCATTATCTGCCATCTTCACAGAAATAGAAAGAACTATTTGCATCCAACCCCGACCATGCTCCTCCATGCATCGTCACAGTTGACTTTTGGCAATCGGGGAGACATAAAGTAGCTTAATTCAGTTGTTATAAATTCAACAAATTTGAATTGTTTTGTGATTTTTACTCCACCCACACGCAAGGGCCCGTCCAACTCAGGTAAGCACTGTTTAAATATTATTTTGGGGGTTGGTGAGGAAGGAGTTTAGTAAGAATTATAACGATTTCAAGTGTTGCCCGCAGAGGAACACAATTTTATTTGCCAACGTTCGCTCGATGAGCATAACGGCAAGACCAGAGTGTGAGCAATTGGTCAATATTAATGTCCACTATTCTTTATGGTTAAGGTATGGAAGATCAAACCACCCAAAGTGGGTTGGAAGCGCGGTTAGAAAAGCAAGAAAAGGCCCTAGAAGCGCTGAAGGATGTGCCGGACATATTAAAGAAATTAATGGAAGGGCGTAATTTTGAAAATCCTGACCCTGATAAAGGCAAATGGTCGCTTGGGCTGTCCGAAGATGAGGACGATGACGTGAACAAATTAATTGGGACTGATATATCCAAAGATGATGGTAAAGAATAAATATAGTGAAAAATATTCAGTTAAAAAGGAGAAATAGTATGTTTCCTTCCTTATCTAATAGAATCTGAAAAAGAAATTGAAATATTACTGGACGATGTTGAAAAAGGAACTGAACTAGGGCCGGAAATTGCTCTCAATGTTGCTCAAAGCTTTCTAAAGACTGTAGCTCGCCCGCTGTCCAAGGAATCAAGATCAAAATTACGAGATAGTATCAAAACACCATCCAATTGTAAAGAATTTGGAACACCTAAAGTGAACAATGAAATTTGGAAGATAATTCCCTCACATGCAAGGCTAAATGATATAAAACAGCAACAAACTCAACAAGCTCTGGGTACTGGAATTTCGGCAATGGCTATGATCGCCAATCTTATTATTTCAAAAAAGTCGGAAATTCCAAATAAAATTGTGAGCTCAGTGGTTAGGATTGCAATGGACGCTGGAAATATCTTGGGTGATCAAACGCAACAAATTAATATTGCACGGAGAATGGATATGAAAAGGTATCTAAATCCCAAATACGGAGGAATTTGTTCGTCTGAGGTAAATATAAAAATGTGGAAAATCGTAATAATATTAAAAGTCCTGTCCTGAAAAGGTTAAAATATTATAAAAACAAATTATGAAATGATGTTAGGTTCCACAATCAGAGTGGTTATTTGGAAATGATCTCAATGAAAGCTTGAAGTCTTCAAAGGCTACATCCAGCCTAATGCGCAATACTGCAGTTCAAGGAAATCGGTTTCATCCTTACAAGCCAAATAACTCGAGGACAAACTTCAGTTCTCAAAGATCTTTAAGCTTCTCACGCCCGTTCCGTCACCATCGAGGGAGCGGGAAATTTCGTCCATACAACAATCGCCAAAATTACAGCGGCCAGAACCAGTTATTATGGAAATCCCAGCAATCTCAACGGGGAGGAAAGTAGCTCCGGTAGGGTGCAAATCTTGTAAATTGGTAACTTGCTATACTGAATGGAGTAAAATAACTAAAGATCAATTTGTGTTAAACTCAGTTAGAGGATATGAAATAATTTTCAAATCTTTTATCTATCAAACTACAGAACCAATTAGCCCTAGTTATTGTGAATCAGATGAGAAATTAATTAGTGAAAGTATTCATAAGTTATTATTAACGGGAGCAATTGTTGAATCAGAAAATGAAGTTGGCCAGTTTGTTTCGACAGTTTTCACTGTTCCTAAACCTGACGGGACCAGGCGCCCTATTCTTAATCTTAAAAAGTTAAATTTATTTGTGGAAACACCCCATTTTAAAATGGAAACAATTCAAACAGCCGCAGATCTTATTTCACAAAATAGTTTTATGGTAGTGATTGATCTCAAAGATGCATACCATGCAATTCCAATTAGTAAACGCAGTCGTAAATATTTGAAATTCAGGTGGAAAGGAAAACTGTACGAATATAATTGTCTTCCTTTTGGTTTATCCGTGGCTCCGTTTCTCTATACCAAATTAACCAAACCAATTGTTGCTAAATTACGATCTATGGGAATTTTATTGGTTGCGTACCTTGATGATATTCTTATTATTAGCAGAACTCTTGAGGAATGTTTTAAACATCGAAGAATAGCTATAACTCTATTGGAAAAATTAGGCTTTACAGTAAATAAGCAGAAGTCGCAGCTAGAACCGTCGCAATCCATAAAGTATCTGGGGTTTATGATAAATTCTTTTACAATGCTTATATCTTTGCCTGAAGATAAACAGAGTAGAATTTTAGAAAAATGTAAAACATGTATTAATTCAAAATTTTGTTCAATCCAATTCTTAGCAGAACTAATTGGTTCTTTAGTCGCTGCAGTCCCCGCAACAAGATATGGTCTATTGTATACTCGCCAACTTGAAATTGAAAAAATTGAAGCTCTATCTAGGAATAATAATAATTATAAAGCAAGGATAGAAATTTCGGAGGTAGCGAAGGAAGATTTGTTATGGTGGATGAAAGTTTTGCCTAATTGTAGTCAGTCATTACATAAGCCCATGAATTTTGATTTTGTAATGTACACAGATGCATCACTGCATGGATGGGGTGCAGAATGTGAGGGTATTCAAACTAAGGGTGCATGGCCTGCCGAATTTTCCCCAAAACACATTAATGTTCTAGAAATGCAGGCCGTCTACTTTGGACTTAAATCTATAATTAAACAGAGAAATAAGAATATTCTATTGCGTGTAGATAACACCACAACTTTGTCGTATATTAATAGGTTTGGTGGTTGTAAACTCGACTTACATGAAGTTGCTAAGAATATTTGGCAATGGGCAGAAAATAATGATATCAATTTAATAGCTAGATACATAAATACGAAGGAAAATATTGTAGCAGACAAGTTGTCTCGAGACAAGTCTAGCTCATCAGATTTTTTGTTATCAAATAACTATTACAACAGAATTATTAATAAATTAGGGGTCCCAATATTAGATTTGTTTGCATCACATATGACCACGAAATGCATAAAGTTTTATTCTTATCGTCCGGATCCCTATTCTATTGGCGTTGATGCTTTCTCGTTTAAGTGGATTGACGGTTCATACGCCTTTCCACCTTTTAATATGTTAACAAAAACAATGCAAAAAATTATGTATGATCAGTGTGATGTTATTGTTGTTGCTCCTTGTTGTAAAACTCAACCGTGGTTTCCTTTATTCAAAAAGTTAGCTGTGTCCGAAATAATGATATTGGGCCCTAATAAATCTCTTTTGTATGACCCGTACAGGAACTCTTACGTAAATCTTACGTTTCAACAAACTATCTCAACAAGAAGCTAAAACTAATGGTGGCGATTTTGTCGGGAAAATCTGGTTGAACTTGAACGTATCAGATCCTGTTATTACATTGCTGAAAGCATCAAAATCAGAAGGAACATGGCAGCAGTACAAATCATCAATAGATAAATGGAATTCGTTTTGTGAAATTAAGAAATGGGATCCGGAAGAAAAACAAATTAGCCATTATTTAGAATTTTTAACAAGTTTATTTGAGCAAGGTTTAAGTTATAATGCGGTTAATACGGCACGCTCCGCTTTTTCAGCTGTATTTGGCCAATTAGAAGGAACTCAAATAGGCGAACATAAATTAATTGTAGATTTGATGAGAGGGATAAGCCGTCTTAGACCAGTGCAACCACGATACAATGTCACGTGGGATCCGAATCAGGTTTTACGCTGTTTAAAAGCTATTTCGACTAATAATTGTTCTCTGAAGGAATTGTCGTTGAAATTGGTAGGCTTGTTAGCACTTTGCACGGGACAAAGGGTTCAATCTCCTGCTAGTATTACGATAAGTAATATTCGTTGGGGGCAATCTGTACAGATAGTCCTTACAGATAAATTAAAAACAACTAGTGTAACAAAATGTAACCCAATATTAGTGCTTCCACCCTTCCATGATTCTGATTTATGCCCTGTTAGAGTTTTAGAAAAATATGTAAAAAGTACATTAAATTTACGAAAAGATTGTGATGCTTTGTTGATCTCATTTGTAAAGCCATACAAATTAGTGTCGTCACAAACGATCAGTCGGTGGTTAATAGAAGTACTTAAATTAGCAAATGTTGATACAGATAAATTTAAGGCCCATAGTTTTAGGCATGCTTCAACTTCAAAGGCTGTAAGAAGTGGAGTTAACACTGATAGTATTTATAAGAGAGTAGGATGGACAAAGAATTCTTCAGTTTTTGCAAGGTTTTATAACCGACCTATATTAG